TTTTTTCCTTTGGTGATTCTTTTTTCCTAAGCAAAGATCAGTCACAAAACAGCTATGCTGTCTTCACCCTGTGTAAGGGAGTCTTGGTGAAAACTCCTACAGGAGATAGGAGACTGGAGGGGAGGGTGACTGCATTCATCCAGCTGTCACTGTGCCTAAGGCTGGTCAGTGAGTCCACATGGAACCGAGGTCACAGGCTGAAATTTCTTTTTTTTTTGCTTGCTTTTTGTGTTCAGAGATGGGGCCTCACTATGTTCCCCAGACTGGCCTCAAAATTTCAAACCTTGGGCCGGGGTTTTAGGTCAGTGGTTCTGGCACCTGCTGCGCATGCGCAAGGTCCCGAGTTCAATCCCTGGTACCAAAAAAAAATTCAAACCTCTCCAAGCACTGTGGGAGACTGAGGCAGGAAGATTGTAAATTCAAGCCCAGCCTGAGCAATTTAGCAGACCCTGCCTCAAAATAAAAAATTTAAAAAGGGTAGGGTTGTAGCTCAGTGTGAAGGCATTAGGTCAATCCCTAACACTGAAAAAAAAATGACAATCTTCCTGCCTCAGCTTCCTAGCTGTGATTACAGGCATGTACCACTGTGCCCTGTTCACGAATATAATTGGAATTCCTATGTTTAGAGAAGTGCCAGGAACTGAGGACAAAGCAGATCTATCCACCGTCAAAGTGACCTACAGTAAACTGACTGAAGAAACTAGATCCTGAAGATCCCAGATGGTGGATTTTGAAGCTGTTCTCAGTACGTCCATAATTCAAGAGGAGATTAAAAAAAAAAGCTGTAGACTGATAGGACAACCAGATTAAACATCAAAAAAGGGCTACCTTGAAGATACATCTTGAATTTTGGCTTTAGAGGAACTAAGGTGACCTTGATGGGTAGGGAAGGAATCTCAGCAAGTGAAATTCCTTCAACACAAATTTACTGATTTAGCCAGAGACCAAGCACAAGCCAGCCTGGAATCTTAGTATTCTGTGAGGCTGAGGCAGGAGAACTGCAAATTCAATCCCAGCCTGGGCAATTCAGCAAGACCCTGTCTCAAAACAAAAACTAAAAAAGGTCATGGGATATAGCTCAATGTCAAGGCTCTGAGTTCAACTCCCAGTATGGAGGAAAGCCTATTGACTGAAAAGAAAAAGAAAAGACCTTAACAGTAACATAACAAGTAAATCATACAGGGCTGGGGATGTGGTTCAGTGGCACCATGCCTGCCTCACAAGCACAAGGTCCTGAGTTCGATCCTCAGTACCAAAAAAAAAAAAAAGAAAAGAAAGGAACAAGTAAATCATACAGATTATAAGGTGAAAAGTGTGGGAGAGAAAATTAATAGAGCAGAGTCAGGTTAGCAGTACTGTGAAACTTAGCGCAAAGAATCTAATACTCCTATGCCTTATATGAGTAATAAATTGTGTGTGTTCTTTTCCCTGCTAATAAAAACAAAAGATAG